TCCACAGTGGTTGTACAAGTTTACATTCCCACCAACAGTGGAGGAGTGTTCCCTTTGCTCCACATCCTCTCCAACATTGGTTGTCATTGGTGAGAATGTGTCTTATTTAGGGTTTCTATTGCTATGAAGAAACACCATGTCCAAGGCAACTCTTATAAAGGAAAGCATTTAGTTGGGGCTTGCCTAAAATTTCTGAGGTTTAGTCCATTTGCATCATGGCAGGGAGCATGGTAACACGCAGGCAGACACGGTGCTAATGAAGGAGCCGAGAGTTCTACATCTGGACCCACAGGCAGCAGGAGAGACTGAGACACTGGCCAGAGACTATGAGACACTGGACTGGTTTGAGCATCTGAGACCTCAAAGCCTGACTCCAGTGACACACATCCTCCAACAAAGCCACACCTACTCCGGCAAGGTCACACCTCCTAACAGTGCCACTCTCTCTGATGTTTTGGGGCCATTTTCAATAAAACCTCATATTCCATTCCTGGGCCCCCATAGGCTTACGGCTATATCATAATGCAAAATGCATTTTGTTACGAGCTGCAGGAATGTAGTAAGAATTCAGCTGAATATGATAAAGCTATACTTGGAAAAATCAAGGCATTCTTCTGGAGGAACCCAAATCTCAAGGAGTATTTAGTGTAAAAAGCTTTATTAATATATCAGCTGTCTTCTGCTATGAATTTCATGTGCGCTCACAACTTCCCCAAGAACTTTTAACAGTGTATTTTGCCAGGCATTTGTCAAAATGGCAAAGTATCCTGAATTAAGGGAAACACCATTCCGTAGTCACCACCTTGGAGACAGGTGCACAGCTTTGTTTCTTGTGCTAATGAAGCTAAGACCCTCCTTTCTCTTATGGCCCAAATGGCATTCCAGAGGAATTTATTCAGAACCAAAGGGCTTTTTGCATACCAGATACAGTGTAGCTATGAGGCAGGTTTCCTAGCTCCAAGCAGAGTTACCCTGCGCTGCCAGGATATGGCAGCATAGGAAAATAGAGGCAGTTTTATTTTAGTGACTTACAGACTCCTTTACCTAACCACCTGTAAGGCTGTAGTTTGAGCACATTTATGACAGACTTGTAACGTTTCACCTAACCACTTATAAGAATATATTTTGAGCACATAAATTCCCTTTCTGATTTACTCTGGGCCTAATCTGACCCCACCTCCTCTATTCACTCCCCTTTTGGGTTGCAAATGAAGCTGGCTATCATGGCTCTGGTTTGGACCCTGGAAGCCTTGCTTTTGATTGGTAAGAGTCAGGCTGCTGGTAGGACTCAGACTGGTTCGGGAGGAGGAAGGGGAAGGAAGCAAGATGGAGAAGAACAAGGATGAAGATGAGGATGGGACAGAAGAGTTAAGAGTTATGAGAGGACAGGAGGAGAAGGGACAGAGAGGAGCTAAGTATAAGAACAGAATTGAAGCTGTGTAGACAGAATTTAATCTCAGAGGAATAAAGTGGACGGATGAAAGAACCTGGTGTACTTAGATTATTTTCCCGCAGATTATTCCTGCCATTAGTAGCATCTCTTCTGGGCCCCTGGGAAGGAAACTAAGAGGCAGGACCTCAGTAATTTCCAAAAGCATTTACTCCAACTTCAAAAGTCCCCATAGTCTATCACAGCCTCAACAGTGTTCAAAAATCCAAAGTTCAAAGTCTCTTCTGGGATTCATGCAATCCCTTAACTGTGATCCCATCAAATCAAAAGCAAAAAACAGATCATATACTTCCAACAAATAATGGCAGAAGATATCTATTACCATTTCAAAAGGGAGCATCAAGAGGAAATGCTGGACCAAAGCAAGACTGAAAACCAGCTGGGTAAAATCCAAGCTCTGCATCTCCATGCCTGATGTCAAGGCACTCTTCAGATCTCCAGTTCCTTTCAGTTTTGTTGACTGCAGCAGGCTTTCCCCTCTTGGGCTGGTTCCACTCCCTGTTAGCAGTTTTCCTCAGCAGTTATCCCATGGCTCTGGTATCTCCAACATTTTGGTGTCTCCAAGGCAATCCAGGCTTCACTCCCACAGCTTCACACAATGGCCTCTCTAGGCCTCCATTCAGGGACACCCCGTCACAACCCCAGCACCAGTGGCTTTTCCATAGACCCTTTCTTCTACCCTTAAAACTAAAGCGAGAGCCACATGGCTGAAGCTGCCAAGTTCTGCTGTTTACTGGGGCTGGAACATGGCCCCCTCATTCAATTACATCTTCACCAGTTTTCTGTTTTTGATGGTTTCCTCCACTGTCTAAGCTTGGCTGTCTTGAAACTCAATCTCTAGACCAGGCTGGCCTCAAACTCAGAGATCCACCAGGCTCTGCCTTCGAATTCTAGGATTAAAGGTGTGTACCACCAACACCTGGCTGTAAACTTTTCTTTAATTCTTTCAACAGATTGGAAGTTTAGCTGGGTGGGGTCTTGCCATGAGGTCACCACTCCCTTTATTCCATCTAACATCAGGCTTTTCTTTAATCCGTTTATCTCCTTGAACACAAGATTCAGCTCCTTCCCACTTCCTTGTGTCCCTTTACTCCTTGAACTGTACATTTTGTATTTCTCTTTGCTCAGCTTGTTCCTTTTCATTATAAATCTTCATTAGAGGTAATACTAATAACCACAGGACAGAGCCAGTACTAGGCTGTTTTGAAATCTCCTCTACTCTTCAATTTAGCCTCAGTAGACATTTCAGACAAGGGCAAAAAGCAGCCATATTCTTCACCAAAATATCACAAGACCAGTCTCTAGGCCACATACTAACATTCTTCTCCTCTGAAACCTCTGGATCCAGACCCCCACAGTTCAAATCACCCTCAGCATCACTGTCTTCCATGCTTCGACTAGGATGGTCCACTGAGACCCACTTAAGCATTCAATTGCTTTTCTAATCCAAAGTCACAAAATCCACATTCGTCCAAACAAAAGCATGGTCAGGCCTATCACAGTAATACCCCAGTCCCTGGCCCCAACTTCTGTCTTAGTTAGGGTTTTACTGCTCTGAAGAGACCATGGCAACTCTTATAAAGGAAAAACATTTAATTGATGCTTGTTTATGGATTCAAAGGTTTAGTCCATTATTGTCAAGGCAGAAAGCATGGTGGCATGCAGGCAGACCTGCTGGAGAAGGAGCTAAGAGTTTTACATCTGGATCTGCAGGCAGCAGGAAGAGACTGTGTTCCATTGGTCCTGGCTTGAGCATTTGAGACTTTGAATCCCGCCCCCAGTGACACACTTCCTCCAATAAAGGCACACCTATTCCACCAAGACCACACCTTCTAATAGTGCCACTCCCTGTGAGTCTATGGGGCCATTTTCATTCAAACTACCCCAGTATGGGATATAAAAGGTCTAAGAAACAAAATGGCACCGTCTCTACTTTCACGGGATCAGTCCAGTTGGAGAAGCAGGGAGGTGAAAGAGATGATCACTGAGTACAAACACCAGAAGATACAATCTAAGCTGACAACTGGAACAGGCCCCTGAAGAGTGCAGCCCAGGGCCAAGGCAAAGCACGCAGTGTGGTCACGAGGCTGGCAGTGCACAGTGCAGATGAGGATGGCTGCCCTGGTGCACTTCAGACCATCCTTGTCGAATCAGAAACAG